CTAATATAATATTATTCATTCCCCCACATATGGGTTAGTTTTTGTTGTTAATTTCTTTTAAATTATTTTAAACCTTTACTTAATGCCTAGATTTACCAGAACTTTGTAAGGGAGGCTGGTTCTGAGGGCCCATGTGAACATTTTCCTAATAGCTATTTACAGCAAGAAATAAACACGCATGTTCCAGTGAATTCACCAATCATTCAAGTCCCAGAGAAGCTTTGAGTTAGCCACCTTTGGGAGGCATTTGATCTAAAGTTTCAGTTGATTACAAAGGCTCCGGAAGAGAAAAGAAAGTTCAGGGTAATCTATTTTTCTTAATCTTTAAAAAGGCAGCAAGTCATAAACTCATCCACCTTTACAAGACATGTTTATGGGTGGGAACTGAAGAGAGTATCAAATGGAAAACTGAATTGGGCTCCTTAGTATCATGGGCTGGGACGTTCCCATAAGTCATCAGAGAATGGAGGCTTCCTGCTGCGTCTACAGTGACCAGGAAGGAGTGGATACATCCCTGGGGGCTGAAAAGTGGGCAGAACCAGATGGTCACTGCCTCCTTGCACATTTTAGAGCACCAATAAGAAACACGGCTTGACCCTCCCACAGAAAGATGTGGGAGGCCTTCAGTTCTAACCAGCTACTGTGACTGGTTACAAACCCCTTACCACTTCATGCCTCAGTTTCCCCATCTTTAACATCAGAGGGCCAGGCCAGGCAGGCCTCTATAGCTGTGTCCTGCTCTTTGATGCCAGGAGCCACACCCTGGGTTATATTGTGTACCTCCAAGGATGGGGAGGGGTGCAGGGAAGGTCTTTCGAGGAGGAAAATACAACTTCAGGAGAAAAGCTCTTTGTGCCTCTGCAGGCTCAGCATTCAACCCATGAAGACCACACAGTCCAAACCCTGCTACTTCCTGTGTGACTTTGGGCACACACGGCCTCAGCTTGCTTCAGTATAAAAGGGAAAATACCATTTAAGCATCAACTCTTATTTTCACCTGTCAAATATATTGGCGCTTTTTATGCAAAATACAGCAATTCAAAAACTTCACATGGCAGAGGTGCTGAGGGAGGTGGGAGCAGGGGCAGTGACCAGACCCTAGTGGAGAAGCAGCGATGGCTACGGGACGGGGTTCAGCACATTCCCCTCCAACCAAAGTAGCTATGGTTTTGTCTGCAACCCAGCAGCTCCCAGGGCTGGAGAGCCCGGGACCCAGCCAGCCTTCGCGCTGCCCCCAAGGTATCAGCTGTTGGATTAATATCATCATATGCTTCACACCAGCACTCCAGTTCTCCAGGGAAGAGAATAACTTTTTTTTTTAATTTAGAAGCTAAAAATCACTTCAAATACTCCTCAAGGGCTTGACCGTTGCTTCTTGTTGATGATCAAGAGCAGAAAACCAAGCAGGCTGTCCCCCAAATTTTACACCTTCTGTCTGCTGTCTCCCTGGTAAACCCAGGAAATTGGTGGCAACTCAGCAGAGATTCCAAGGTCGGCACAGCCGCCGCCACCTCCCACCCTCACACTCAGGAGAAAGAGCCTAAAGAGGCGGTTACCAGTGTGACAAGGGTTCCCCACCACGAATCCCGGAGTGGAAAGACTACAGGGCGCGGTCTGCAGGCCCCCAAAGCAGAAGGCACTGGCCCCGGGTGGAGGGGGTGGAGATGGGAGAGGCGGAACGCCCCCCACCCCTCGGCCCCGCTCCCCGAAGGTAGCCATCAAGTCAAAACCCTTCTCCCCAGAGGAAAGCACGCCACCCGCAGGCAACCCTCGGAAGCAGCCCTGACGCGCAGAGTTGGTGGGTGGCTCCAGCAAGAAAGGGTGTACCCCAGCCTTGGGGCGGCTCCCAGGTCCACAGAGGGCTGGACTGGAGGGAGCAGGGGACGCCCAAGTCCAGCAGAGAGAGAAGGGGTCGAGAGGGGAAGGTTCCCGTCCCAGCATAGAGGTGGGGGGAGGGGCTCCCAATCCCGAAACGGCGGAGGGCGGGAAGGGCCTCCGGGTCCCTCGGAGAGGGAAGGCAGAGGAGGTGACGCCGGGTCCTGCAGAGGGGGTCAGGGGGAGGGAGGTCGGGAGGGGCGCAGCCCCCTCCCCGGACGTAGGCCGTCCAGCCCCCAGCCCCGCGCCGCCGCGCCGCTCCTCACCCGCGGCCCCAGGCTCCCGCCGCGCGCCCACCGTGCCGTCCCGGCGCAGCAGGATGTCCGCCGTATCCCGGAGGCGCGGCCGGCCCGGCGCGTCCCGCAGCCCGCGGCAGCCCTGGAAGCACACGGCCCACGCCTGCTCCTCGTTTATGGGCTGCTCGTACGCCTTCAGCACCTCCTCCAGGGACAGCTCCCACGGCTCGGGCCCCGCGCCCCCCGCCCGCCGCCCCGCCGCCGCGTCGCCGCTGCAGCTGCCGGCCCGGGCCATGGCCGCCCCATCATCGCCCCTGCGCGCCCGGCCGGTCTCCACGGCAGTGGGGCCCGGCTGCCGCTGCTTTGTCATCGCGGGGCGGCCCCGCCCCGCCGAGGGGCCGCAGGTGAGGGCGGGGCCGGCGGGGCCGGCAGGGCGCGGAAGGGGGCGGAGAGAGCGCAGAGCCCGGAGGAGGCGGTGCAGAACCGGGAGGAGGGGCGCAGAGAGGCGAGGAGGCGGGTGGCAAGGGAAGGGAGCGCGTGCGCAGAGCCGGGCGGAGGCGAGCAGAGCAGGGCCGCGGCAGAGGAAGGCCGGGACTAGCAGCCCCAGGGCCGAGGGGAGGGACGCTCCCGAAGGAGGCGCGCCCCCAGACGCGGGTATCCCCGCCCCGGAGCTTCCTGCCGGCCAAACCCAGACCTCGCACGAGCTCGGCGTCCACCCTGAGCCACTCCGCAGTGACTGCTGGGCCTTGGGCGCTTTTGACGCGGGAATGAGGGTGGGGTCCGGGAAGCCTGTGGCTCGCACCCCGTCCCCCCACACGCAGACTTCACTTCAGTCTGGAGGAACAGACGAGACCCGCAAGGGCCTCTGTGGAGAGCGGACGGCAAGGTGACCTCAGGAGGTTACTATAGGGTGAGGCGGGAGGGAGACCCCAGATATGAAGCACTTACTAAATGACCCTTTCCAGAAGGAGGCACAGGTCTGCATTAAATGCTCTAGTGTCTCCATGAAGATAAACAGGGGCGGTTGACCGTTGGTCCTGCTACACTCCCCTTTGGGTGACGTGTCTGTGCCCTATCCCAGGGCAGTTCCCTCCCTTGGGCATGGGGTGGCACCCAGGCACAGAGGCACCTTATTCAGGCTAGCCCAGAGGCCTCTTCAGCCCTCGTTGTACCAGGTCAAAAGAACAGGACCAAAATGCAATTGAAACACAAATGACAGAGAGAGACAGTGGGTCCAGACCTGCACCTTCCAAGACATTAGCCAGTTAGATTTAGAATACTGGGGCTTTACTACAAATGTTAGAAGTTAGATTCTAATTATTCACCTCTTGGTATCTGCAGATTTGTCCCCTAACCATATCCAAAATAAGGAAGAAGCGTCAAGTCAGCTTTCTAGATGCCCATAGAAGCCTATTTTTTTCACCCTCAATTTACCCACCCCCACCCCCCACTAGGTGCCTAAGGGTGGCAAGGAGAGGGATTCCAACTTTGCAGACTGCAGCTCGAGGGCGGCTTTTCAGCTAATCCTGTGACACCCCCGGAAGAGGAGCCGGATCACACTTCCCACGGCAGCTACAGGCAGCAGTTCTGGTCTGGTCAGTGGGGGCTCTCTGTGCAGGAACAGGTTCCACCCATTCACCACAAATCTAAGTCAAGATAGCCATTTCCTTCCTGAGATGTGGTACTAAGGTTGGCCCAGACTCCTGATTAAAACATCTAGTCAATATTAAATCAGGCTGAGGGCTCTCCCATAAGGAGCTTGTGAGTAAACTGACAATCATCTGGGCTGCACATCCCAGCTTTTTGCAGAGGAGAAAATGAATGGCACCTGGTTAAGATGAGCATGGGGTTTATCTGAGTTGGAAATGGCGCAATTATTAAAACATTGAGCTATTTTGCTCACTGAACATCAGAATCAAGTGTAAGTCTTTCCGTAACTGTAACTTGCCACTTGGATTTTGGAAATAAAAGTTTATTTCCAGCTGTTAAAAAAGACTCAACTGAGAAGCATAGTCGGAATTAAGGTTGATCATCAATTAATTCAACTTGGAAAGCTTTGGATTTAGGTCATTTCCACAGTGATAGGATCACCTATAGTTTATTCCTAAAAACACATTCTTTATCCTTGATTTCCAGTAGATAAGGAATTCCAGGAAAAGGGATGCTATAAATCTCTGTAGGCTGCTGAGCTTAGGACAGAATAGAAAATCAGTGTAATGACTAATCTGCTAGTGCTTGGAATTGAGAATCACTTCATCAAATTATCAAACAAGCAAAGATGCTCCAAAAGTATTACTCATACGGCTTAGGTTGTTAGTTCACACATATTTGCTGAGCACCGGATATTGAGGTCTGCTGCCTGGGAGAGACTAGTGGGAAACCCAACCAGAATTCCCCTTCTTGGGAACAGCACACAAGGACACAGGGTCTGAAGGTGGGTAGGAGCTGAGGTGAATGGGGAGCCCCACTCATGATACCTGCCTTTCCCGTGCTGTGTCTGAGGCTTTGAGGGAACCAGAGATCATGTCCATTCCAAGATAATGCAATCGTAAGAGTGGACGGCTCAGGACTGCAGCTGGTCATAGATTAAACAGCTCTAGGAACTAGACGCTTGAGCATCTTTGCAGACACAGAATCTAGATTATTCTAATTTTAGGCTCCTGGAGGCCAAAAAGATTAATTGGGCCGGATCCCAAGTATGCTGTGGTTTATGGTCACAAGGCTCCAGGAGAGGCATGCAGGACTCCAGGGTCCCAGGTGGCATCGTGAGGACGTTGTGAGACAAAGATCAGGGCAAGTAAGACACATGGGCAACTGGGTTTATGACCAAAGCCAGTTTGAGAGCAAAGGCCCATGGACCCCCCCTGGATGCAGGTAGAACCACTTTACCTGTCCTGAGCGGGATGCAGGGGTTCTTTCAGCCCACACTTTACTAATTCCACTTCAGACTGAAAAACAGGCCGGGCTCTCCCAAGGGATCCATCCACACTGAGGGCAGTGAGCAACCAGGCTCCTGCTGCCATGACCGAAGGCCCTGAATGCCCTCTTTGTCGTGCTCCAGGCAGGGCTCAGAGCTCCAGGAGGAGAAGTTGAAACGCAAGAGGCCAGGGTTTTGTGCTGTAGGTCTATTTTGGGATGATGATAAAGGCCATGAATCCCAAGGGATGCCAGATAGAGGCAGCAGGCTGTGCTTTATCCCTGAAAAGCATCCCAGGACAGCTCCAAGGGAAGGGCGCGGGGACACTGCTGCAAGATTTCCAGGCTGGTCATTGAGAAGATACAGAGGCTAAATGCAGCTGGGCCTGAACAGAACGAGAGAGGAGGGGGAGATGCAGCAACAGAGGGAACACTGAGGTCCCAGACCTAAGCCAACATGACACGAGCAAACACCAGGAGATGACAGGGCAGGGGATAGTAGACAGGGCTGTCCTGTGCCACACAGGACAAGGAAAGGGGATCAGAAGTAGAGAAAATACTTGAGGATACTTTGCTAGAGCTGCTAAAACACACACAAACTTGGTGGCTTAAAACAACAGAAATTCATTTTCTTACACTTCTGGACAAAGAAGTTTGAAATCAGGGTGTCAGCAGGTCTGTGCCCCCCTCCACAGGCTGCGGGGAGGGTCCTTCTGGCTCTTCCAGCCTCTGGGACTCCAGGCATCCCTTGGATGCCCCATTGCCATTTCATTCCGATCTGCCTTCATCCTCACACTGCCTTCTCTGTGTCTCTCCTCTTCTGTCTCTTATGGAGACACTTGTCATTGGATTTAGGCCTCACCTCAAGGTCCTTCTAATCACATCTGCAAAGACCTGTTTCCAAATAAAGTCACATCCACAAACTCCAGGTGAGGACATGGAGGCATCTTTCTGGGGTAACCACCCAAACTGCTGGCACCTCACTGTGAGTCAAGGCCGTGCCACCAAACCAGAGCATCATGACTGTTCCTCACCAACACATATCAAAGTAAGAAAGACTGAAAAGCCAATTCTAAGGAATTTCCTGGATGAAACCATAAAAATGATCACTTCTAACAAATCTTGAACTCGAGTCCCTGAAATACACATATTTTTAATATTCTTCATCCTGGAGTCCCAGGACTTCGTGAGAGAGTCTGCAACCCCATGACTGAGGCCTCAGCAATGAAAACAAGAGTCTGGGTTTGTTCACAGCTCTCCTCAAATTGCACACCTGAATTTCCACTAGGTAAAGATCCTGTATGGCCAAAAAACAGAAAGCAAATGTTAGTGTATGTGTGGTCTTGAACCAGCAATTTCACTACTTGGAATTTTCCTAAGGCAATAAAGACAAGTCAGCAGTCCTCAAAGGTGATTGCACATCTTAAAGGTGTGTGTTCCTGAAAAGGGCATAGTTTATATGCCCACGATACGGCTTGGTAACCTCACCTAGGTACTTGTCATACAGCAGCATGAAGTAATTAAAAAGAATTTAAGAGAATGTGATCACTCCATTGCCAGAGATATCCATGAATTACTGTGGACAAAAAACACAGATTATAAAGCAGTTTACAAAGTGTTTGCAAAGGAGAACCCTGAAAGTTTACAGTGAAATACCAATGGCAGTGATTATCTCTGGATATGATCTTGGGCAAATTGGCTCTTTCACTTGTCAGTAAGCACACGTTACTACTTTTGTAACTTGGGGAAGTCCATGTTCAAAATGAATCTCCTTTCTATGCTTTGTCTGAGATGAGACATGCGGTAAGACAAAAGCCACCAGTGTGGCAATTGGAGTTCTGGTGGTTTGCATTTATGTTGAGGGGTGGAGGGCCCACCTTCTGGGCTGCTGCAGCAGGTCAGACTCACAGCTGGACCTGCTTCCCCAGCAGGACGCTTCTGTCACCTGAGACAGGTGTGTCCTCCATTCTCAGCAGGGCCAATGCAGACGCGTGTTCCGAACAGGTTGAATGTTTTCTTCTGCTGAATCAGCTCCCTCTCCTGTTTTGGGTCTTTCTAGCTAAATTCTGCTTTTTTGAAGTGGGAAGTGGTCCCTTGGCTACCAGCAACAGTCCTCCTTTAGGGTGAGGTGGGCTGACTGAGGTCCCTTTAAAAGCTGCTCAGATAGAAGGACTAGCTTGCTCTCCTGGCTTCACCTCCCACTTGATTTTGCTTTATGCAGAACAAGGCAGCCGCTTGGCCATTTCAAGCCTTCTTGAGCTCTCAGCCCCCTTTCTTCGCCGATGAGCATCTGTCTGTTGGGCAGCAGTTTTATGTTACTCCATCACTAGTAATCTAGTGCTCCTTAACTTTGGGCAAATTAAAAGAGAAAAGCTTTTCTCAGAGTAACTTAAGGCAGAGTGGAGACGGTGCTCCCCAAAGTGTAATGAGCTCCCCCCATCTCACATTACCCACAAGGGGCTAAGAGAGGAGCTGTTGGAGGTCCAGTCTCTGTCGGAGGTGCGGCCAGGGTGGTGGTGGGAGCGACTTTGACGAGGCCTGGGCTCTCGTGAGGGTCCACCTTGAGATTAAGCAGTTGCCTTTCTGAGCTGGTCTGGTCCCTGCAGCCTCTGCCATTAGAATCCACAGTCACACACGGCTGGCGGCGCACAAATGCTGAGACACCCTCGTGGGTTCTTACTTACTTGGTTTTCCTAGCCTATGAACCCACGTGTTGGTTAAGAAGAGTGTCACTGGGCCCCGAGCAGTCAGCATGGCCCACAGGCAAGCAGACAGTGCAAAGGGGGCTTCACCTCGAGGCAAAGGGGAGTGTGCCTGCAGCGGGCAGCCATCGCCGAGGCAGCCCCCGCAGTGCTCTGGAGGCTGGTGCTGCATGGGAGGGCAACCCCTATGCGCCTGCTCTGATGTGCTCTCATGCTGTTTCCGCCTGGGTCGGGGCACAGGCTCCAGTCTGTCATCTCCAGTATCTTCTGATACCTTGAGCAACATCAAAGAATAATTAATCCTCTCAATCTTTCCTCTGTTCCTGGCCATTTCCACATAGGGATTGCCGTAAGGGCAGCGGCCCTATAACTGGACAGAAATGTCAGGAAAAAGTGAGAAATCCAGGCGCTGAGCAGGAGGGAGGGAGGCCCGCCTGGTTTGGGTCCTCTTCCTCAGGCTTGTTTCTCCCAGTGTCATGCTCTTGGGAGGGCAGAGGGCGAGGAGAAATTACCTCGAGTCAAAACCCAGGAGGCTCCTCCATGCCCTCCATGCAGGGATCTCGCACCCTGCGCCCTCTGGCCCCACAGCGTGTGATGTCTAAGAGCTTGGACTCTGGGGTCCTGTCTCTGCTGCACAGTAGTGGAGAATGCCTCCTTTCCTGCCTGTCACTTGGAATCGCATTAATGGCCTGGGATCCTATAATGAATGTGTGTACAGGAATGTACCACTGTCTGTCACTGTAAAACACCACCCCAAGATTCAGTGGCTTAAAGTAATCGGTGTTTGGAAGGCCTGTGATGGCCACATTCCCAGGTAGGCAGGCTGCTGGCCAGGGCTGGACTGGTGGCTGGGCACCCACTGTTTTCCCCTGGCCTGGTCCTTAGGCAGGCTGGCTGAGGTGAATTCTTGTGGGCCAGAATTCTAAGCTCTGAAGCACTCTCTCCAAGCTTCTGTTCGTACCACGTTCCTTGTCTCATCAGCCCAAACTGAAGGGATGGCGAAACAGACTCCACCTCTTGACAGAGCGAGGGCTCGTGGCCAATTTTGCAGTCCTCAAAGAGGGCGACACCATATGGGTCATGCCCCACCACAGAGCCTGGGCAGTGCTTTGCCCAAGTTCATTGCCCCAAAGCTGGGTCAGGCCCTGCAGCAGTTAGCAGGATAGCTGCATAGACAAACCTGAAGAGCGGCCAGCAGCCTGCAAGGTAACACAGAGTTGGTGCTGGAGTACACCCTGCATTGCGAAGGTCTTCCTGCTGACGGATACAAACCTGGAGGCTGAGCCTGAGCTGGGTGGTGACTCAACTCTTCTAGCCCCTTAAAATGTGTGTGCTGCCCCCAACTTCTGGCACAGGGATCACAAACCCTTGTGGTTTCCTAAGTGATGAGAGCAATGGGTGCATCTTTTTTTCTAGTGAGGTGACTCTGGGTGGCTCCTGGGTAGGGGCTGGTCACCAGGAAGACCAAGCCATGATTAACATCTTGGGACTTTCAGTCCTACCCCACCTCCAGAGAGGGCACAGGGGCTGGACATAGAGCTAATGCCTATGTGAAGAAGCCTCCTTAAAATTCCAAAAGTATGGGCTTCAAGGAGCTTCTGGGTGGTGAGCATTTGCACACCCCAACTCCAGGGGGACAAAAGGTCCTGAGCCCAGGACACTCCAGACCTTGCTCACCCTGTGCATCTCTTCACCTGGCTTTTCATCTGTGGCTTTTATCATGTACTTTAATAAGCCAGTAAACAAGTTTTCCTGAGTTCTGTTAGGCAGGAAAATAGTTATGAGCTGGATGGAAAGAGAAGGCGGCCAGGAAAGTCCACTAAAAAAGACACAGAGTTAATGAGTTAAAGCTCAAAAAAGCCAAGAGCAACTTGGTCTAAAAGTCTGAATACTCCCCAGGTAAGGAAAAGTATCTCAGCACAGCCTATGTTTTCACTGTGTCAATTAGAACATACCATTTTAAGATTTATTTTAGCACCTGCTCAAAGGCCCAGCTTATTCAGGGAGAATTCTATCTTAAAGTCAAGACTGCATTTTAATTAAACAGACAGTGGCTCAGCCCACATTGGAGGCAAGGCAGACAGTCTTGATATGCTTCCAGACAGAAGCTGATATCCTGGAAAAGAATCAAGGCAGTATATTTCTTCGGTTGAGTTAAAAAAAAAAAAGGAAACTTAATGTCTTATCAAAGATAAACATTCTGAGACCATTTGGTAGGTCCACACCTGGCCCTTTGTCGCTTTCCTGAAAATCCTCAACAGCCTATAAAACCCCAGACCCCAAACCTTTCAGTACGCTTCTCTCTCTGAGGTTGTCTGCACTAAGCGCATAGGCTTTCTCTCTTTCGTTAAAACTTAAACTTTTCAAGGCGCCTCTCCCTGAGATCGCCTGCTGCACTTTTTCTTTTGGTAACTAAAACTTTTACTGTTTCATTACTGTGTCTCCGCCTTTCAAATCTTTATTGTGGTGGGGACAAGAACAGAGGAAAATACACAATGCCCCCTAACAGTTCCATGAGCTACTCTAGCAAATTAACCCAATTAACCAAAGGACACCGAAATCATTTGCTAAATTGGACTGAAGCTGTGGGTAAACTAGGGCTCCACTGCTTGGAATTGGCAACTCAAGTGGGGGTCTGACGCCATCTCCAGGTAGGTGCGTCAGAACTGAGTTGGGTTAGAAGAAACACGGGGTGTTCTCGGAGACTTGCTTGGTGCGGGGTGACTGACCCCGACCCCCCGCATTTGGCGACCAGAAGAGTAAGAAGGAAGTGCGCTGTGTGAGCAGTGAGGGAGGCTTACAGGATGAAAAATGTTTTTCCAATTCACCCTTCTGAAGAGCCAGACGACCTGGGACACCTTCCCCGCATTTTTCACCCAGCACGTGTGACCACTGGTCTAAACATATCTGACAAATCTCTCCATGCAGGAGGCAGGGAGACTTGTGTCTTGTTCCACTGCCCTGTACAATTTTTTCCCGTGGGGGGAGTCGTTCGCCGCCCTGCCCCGGCAGTGCACACACCGAGCTTGGAGGGCTCCACCCTTCTGGGCTTCAGCTGCCCAAACCTTAACAAGAAACCTGTTTCCTAGCCTCTTATGAGATGATCAGAAAAGGAGACACAGGGCAGGCCCAGGAAAATCGGCCACACTCACGTCTGGCACGGGAGGCGTGCAGGCCACGTGCGGCCGCACGGGCGCCATCAGGGCGCAGGCGCAAAGGTAGAAGGAGCGCGAGGGTGAAGTCGCCGTGCCCGGGCTTCCGGGAAGGCAGACAGCAGGGGAGGGCGTTGGGGCGGCTCCTGCGGCCCCGGCCCTGGGGCCTGAGGTGTCCGTCTGCGCGGCGCGCTCCACGGGGAGCCCCGCTCGCTCAGTTCGCAGCAGACAGAAGGAAACGGCGACCCCACCGGGTCGAGGAAAGCCAACGTGCATCCCCTCCACGAACCCAGGGCCACGGCCACTCGGCCCGCGCACGGCCTCCCCGGACTCGCGATTGTCAGGCAGCTTCTTCAGGACCAGCTCTTGGTAGTGACCAGCGGGAGCCACGCCGGAAGGAGGCCACACGCGCTGCATCCCCATTGTCTTCCGGGTCGGGGGTCCCCTTTCCTGACCACCACCAAGACGGCCGTGGCACGAGGCCTCCACCCTAGCTGGGTGTGGCCGAGTAGCCGCCAGTCAAGGGGCGTGTTCTGCCTACCGAAGCAGTGGGTGGGTGCAAGGGCTGCAGCCAATGAGGGGCAGAGATGTCCTTAGTGCCTGAAAAGGCAGCGGGGCAGCAGCCAATGGAAGGGGAGAGTGGTCACAGCCAATGGGAGGCCAACACGGGATGAAGGAAATTGGAGGTTTCGAGGGCTGTAGCCAATGGGCATGCTTACCAGCCGTCAGCCATTTGCAGGATGGTTCCGCTATCAGCCAATAGGGAGCATGGTAGGCCAAAGGAAGGTGGGCACTCTTGGTCTCAGCTAATGAGAGGGCAGAGAGGTTTGCCGCCAATGGAGAGCAGTGCGTGCCACAGCCAATGCCCGCTCTCGCCAGGCTGCAACCAGTGGGAGAGCAGCGCGGGTCGCAGCCAGTGGAAGCGCTGTTCTGTCCATAGCAAATGGGCGGGCAGCGGATGGACGGGTGGTGCGGACCGCACGCAATGGGAGGGCAGCGCTGTCCGTAGGAAGTGGGCGGGCAGACCCAGCCTCAGCCAATTGGCGGGCGCTGGTGGGCGGTGCAGACTACAACCAATGCAAAGGCGGCTCTCTCCGCAGAAAAAGGGCAGGAGGCTCAGGCAACAGCCAATGGGCTGGCGGCGCGGGCTGGATGTCGCTAGTCGCCCGAGGAACTTCGTTGTCGGCATGTCAGGTCCGGGGGCTTCGGCCACCGCTTGCGATCCTGGGCCGCGGGGCCGCAGGCAGAGCTGGGCTGAGCTGCTGGGTAGGTGGGCTCTGGGACCGCGGCCTGGCCGTCTCTCCGAAGTGGGGCTTCGGGGCAGCGCGCGCGGACAGCCTCACCGAAAGAAGTTGCCTCTGGGCGCCGTGTTGGCCCCGCTGCCCACAGCTCCGGCGCAGCGCAGGCTCGCCTGGAGTCCCGGGGCCCCGCCTGCCCCGGCGTTCCTCAGGTCCCGCCGTGTCCCTCGTCTTTCCCGACGTGCACGGGTGGGGCGCCAGCCCTCCTTTCGTAGAATATGTTCAGTGTTTTCTCACGATTAGATTGAGGTTTGCGTTTCTGGCAGGAATCCCACGACACAACGCGTTCCCGGGTGCATCTCGTGGGGGTCCCGTTAGTCAGTGTCCCTTTCAGGTGTTCTAAGTGTTACAATGGAACCTGGTTTCCCCCTCAGCGGGAAGGGTCAAGAGACAAAAACTGGATGCGGGCGGGGAGCAGCAGCTGCGGGAGTCCGCCGTGCGCCTCCTCATGCGCCATCTGAGCCTGGATGACCTTATGCTGGAGGTAAGAGGGGAGCGGGTTTTGGCCTCTGTAGGCAGGGTTAGGCTGTTTGAGCTCCGCAAGACATGATCTTCAGGAACCGACGTGGGAAGCGTCAGGGGCGACTGGCAGAGCACCTGTTAATTGCTGACTAAGTGAGGGAAAAATTGGGAAAGGCACCCTTTTACAAGTAAAAGAAGTTCAAACATGAATTCAGTAACTCTCAAAAGGCTTTTTAATAACTTCCACTTTTTAAGATGTTTTGCCTCAAAATACTTGAGAAGAGCGCGGTAGGCAGACATTGTGCCCACACAGTTGTGGTTCTTTGTGCTCGGTGTTCTAGGTGGAAGGCACCCCACGTCAAGAGCTCTGTCTCAGCCAGCCGAGCGGTCAGGACAGCCCTGAGGCCTGTGCCCCCCTCACTAGCTCGCTCCTAGGTAAGCTGGGGCTTCGTTTTCTTCACTGAGTTGCAGAAGAGCTTTATGCAAAGTGACC